TTTTAGTTGCATAAGATTAAGCCTGGCACAGGACGTACTATTCTTCACTCTCGCTAATGCGCCATCCCAGACCTCATCATCTATAGCTTGGACTAGTTCCTCTTCCCAATCTTGTTTGATTTTACCAAGCGATGTTTCTGTGAGACGGGAGACGGAATTGTAAATCCTTTTTTGATTGTTAGAGTCCAGAATTGAGTCAATTATTGAATCCGGAGGGATATTGGGGAAGGAAGGGTTGTTTAGTTTAACCCAGTTTCGGACCTGGAAGTAGCGAAATAGATGAGTGCCTGGAAGTCAACATTTGTCAGAGAGTAAAGCTACCGAAAACATTGTTAATGTAAAGGTCCCTTCCTCTGATAAGACCTAATCTCTGCCACATAGAGAAGGCCCCATCAGTGTGAGGGGGGAGGAAGAGATGGTTGTTGCGAATGGGACTATGTATAGAGGATCCACAGAGTCCATGAGCCTTTCTGAATTGGGACCAAATTCTTAGGGTGGAAACAACAATCGGGTTATTTGAATGTTAAGTTGGCCGGCTGGGTAATGTAGATGTGAGCAAAAGCCAAGAGTGAGGTATTAGGACAGGATTGGCTTCAAGCTCACACCAACTCCCATGTTGGTTCCTTAGTCCATAGAATTACTTTGTGGATATTGGCTGCCCAATAGTAGTGTCTTATATTTGGAAGCGCTAATCCTCCTGTAGATCTATGCCTTTGTAAAAGCTCTTTCCTAATTCTAGGAGTCTTCCCTTGCCATAAAAAAGAGGAGATTAGTTCGTCTATTTTACGAAAAAGTGATTTTGGTAGGAAGACTGGCAGACATTGAAAGAGGTACAGAAGCGAGGGAGAACGTTCATTTTGATACAGTTTACCCTCCCAGCGATAGTTAAATGTAAATTATTCCACCTTTCCAAATCATATTTGAGCTTGTCAATTAGTGGTGGGACGTTATCTTTGTAAAGGTCTGAGAGTTTTCCACTTATATTCACGCCTAAATACTTAAAATTACTCCTAGACATCTTGAAGGTGAAGAGTCTATCGGGGATCTGAAGGGCCAGGTCATTACGGGGAAACACTCACTCTTGGAAAAGTTTAGCTTGTACCCTGAGAAGGTTCCGAATCGGGTTAACAGATCTATATCTGAGGAATGGTAGATATAGGGTTAGAAATGAACAATAGTAAATCGTCAGCGTATAAGAGAGTATGTGTTCAGAGCCATATCTGGTAATTCCCTTGTGTAAAGCTGGCCGATTTAAGCGCAATTGATAGGGGTTCGATTGCCATGGCGAATAGTAACGGGCTTAGAGGGCAACCCTGGCGAGTACCTCTACCTAGTGTAAAATATTGAGAACTTATCCCGTTAGTACTCACTGAAGCCTTGGGTGAAGAGTATAACAATGCTATCCACGACACAAATTTGGATCCGAGGCTGAACCTCTTAAGGACCTCAAATAGAAAGCCCCACTCCACCCTGTCGAACGCTTTCTCTGCATCCAATGAGACCACCACCTCTGGTGTCTCCTTGGATGCAGGAGAGAGGAGGATGTTGAGAAGGCGACGGATGTTGGAGAAGGAGTGTCGGCCTTTCATAAACCCAGTTTGGTCTAATGATATGATGTACACAATGTGGATACAATTACTTCCGCCTCAGTCAGAGTTTGTGGCAACGTTCCCCGGTCCAGAGAGTCCTCGAACATTCTCAAAAGAAGGGGGGTCAATTTATCAATAAATTGTTTATAAAACTCAATTGGATAAACCGTCCGGGCCCGGGGCTTTGCCACTCTGGATCAGCCTGATCGAGTCAGCTATTTCACTAGGCTTCAGAGGTTGATCCAACTCACCCTCCTGAGCAGGTGTTATGGACGGAAATTCCAGATCATCCAAGAATTTAGTTCTGTCCGCATTATCGACCGGGGCTTGTGAGGCATAGAGTCCAGAGTAAAAGGTTTTAAAGGTGTCGTTGATAACAGATGGGATTGCTGTGAGTTCACGAGTAGGGGTCCGTATTTGTTTAATTTGTTGGGAAACCGACTGGCTCTTAATTTGGTGCGCTCGGAGACAACCCGCCTTCTCCCCATGTTCATACTGAAATCCACGCGATCTTAAAAGCAATTTCTCAGTCTCTTGCGTTGAAAGTAAATTGTAGTCCATCTGAAGATTGTGCCTTTCCTTATCTAGTTCAGGGGATGGACATGTTGAGAGTTGGCTATCTAGTTTAGCTATACTGCCCAAAAGTTCTACTGTTTTTGCTTTTTCATTTTGTTTTGCCTTGCAGAGTTAGAGATAGTCTCTCCTCGGATCACAGCTTTTAACGTCTCCCACAAAAGAGATGGTGAGATCCCATCAGACATGTTGGTTATAAGGAAATCATCTATAGCTTTAGAGATTGTTAGAGAATAGTGTGCAGCTCAGTCTCCAGGGGGGACGTGTCTTTTGTAACAGTGTGAATGAGAGGTAACAATGGGGCGTGGTCGGATATCACTATGAGTGAGTATTCTATGTTTTTTACAGCGGGAAGAAAATAGTTATCGATAAAAAAATAGTCGATTCTCGAGAATGTTTTGTGAACAAAGGAGTAGAAAGAAAACTGTTTTGCTTTGGGGTGGAGAGAACGCCATGGGTCCACACATCCTGTTTGACTCATAAATAGTGAGATGGCTTTAGCCGTTTTAGAGGGGGAGTCCCGTTTTGGGCTAGATTTGTCTAAAAGCGGGTCCATTGTACAGTTGAGATCACCGCCCAAGATCAAATGGTGGGAGCTTAGGTCTGGTAATAATGATATCACCTTTCCCATGAATGCTTCATCAACCCAGATGGGCGCATATAGATTGGCGAGAACAACATTGACATTATTGAGGGAACGAGAAACTATCACAAAGCGACCTTGAGGATCCGCTATAACCTCAGTCGGGCTGAACTGTATTTTTTATGCATCACAATAGCTGCGCCTCTTCTCTACTACTGAAATTGGAATGAAAGGTTTGGCCAACCCATGATGCCTTTAACCTATGGTGGTCCTTAGTGGTCAGATGAGTTTCCTGTAGAAAGGCAATTTCCGTTTTAAGGTGTTTTAAGTGGGAAAAATTCTGCCTCTTTTAACCGGGGCATTCATGCCCTTAACATTCCAGGAGACAAGTCTTAGACATGCTTCACCATTTCCTGTTAAATTAACCATCATTCTTTCACACACAGTGACGTCACGAGCTACCCACAATGCAACACGCGCCATATAATATATATAAATGCGCCATTTTCCTGGAGGTGCTAATATCCTGGAAGTGCAAATATAAACAGCTAGCTAACTAGCCAGGCAGAGCGCAGTAGGTTTTTTTTCTGAATTAACGACCGAAGAAATCGCTGCATGTCTTCGGATTACATCTCTGGACTTGAGGGGTGTGCTTTAGGTCGTTACCAGCGTAAACTAGAGTGTGTGGGTTGTTACAGACTGCCTGCAGATGTATGGAAAAACGACAGTGGCCTTCGTCGATTTTGGCTGCATCTACGTCTAATTTCTGGAAACACCAGGTGAATACCCCACTTGTCACAATAATATTATCATGCCATTGCATATATGTGGTATTTTAGAGTTGACTAGATATTGATTAAGGCAATAGACTATGATATTCAGTACAGGAAGCTTAGCAACACCTAGACGGTGTACGGCTGCTTGCACCTCGCGTAAAACGGCGCAGACCGGAAGTACGGTGTCGCGCTCGGCCCAATACCCGTATGTGTGTGTGAAAGAATCAAAATATGAGCCTGAAGTACATGAAGAGGTAGTATGCAGCCTATTTAATGGAAAGCAGGAGAAACGAACAACAAAAATACAAAAAACTAAAATAAACATATAGTAGGACCTAACACCCAAATTCTCCCCAAAAAAAGAAATGCTCTCAAAAAGGAGAGCCAAACACACATTCCCTTTCCTAAGCTTGTTCCTAAAACGAGAACTAGCAGCAGGACTCCCAAAAAATATGTCACTTCCGTATGACATTAACCTATAATCTAACTTATGTTCCTGAGCAGACAGGGCTCCTATCTCTACAATTGGTCTGACATGCAGAGTAAATAGTCTAGTTTCGTTTGTAGCCAATACAAAGTTAACCGCACAAACCTGAGATTGTTCCTAGCAAGGCTTGTTTCCCCCGGACCGTGCCCCTTTAACACCGGAAGTGGCCATAGTAAACATCACACAACAACAGAGAAAATCTAGTGCACATGCTGGATAACAACATCCAGTGACGTGCGGTGAGGTTCATGGCTGGTGAGGCACTGGCTGCTTCTCAGGTCGATTAAATGAAATCCTTGCTTCCCTCACTTGCGTCGTTTCCCTGCGTCTAGTCCCTCCCATCAGGGAAGCATGGAGGGACGCAAGGAAACCACGAGAAGCAGGGAAATGAGTTTTAAGAGCAATGGGACGTCCTTTCCTCCGGAGCGTCACGTGAAGCGACGTCCGTTTGTGATGACGCTGCACAGCTGTGTCGTCTGACAGCAGCTCTGTCCCCGTTATTTCCAGAAACCACCCCCTCTGTTAGTACACATTTACTGACATAAACATTAGTATCATCTGTTGTAGATCCAAATACATGAAATAAAATAAGAAGTCATTCTCAAAAAAGATAAACGCCATTCTTAAAATGTATTTAAACGAACAATAGTTTGATTAATATTGATTAGAGTGCACAATAGGAATACAATTATTCAGAGAACAAAAACAGATATGTTATCTATCAAAACCCAGTTAGATTAACATTCATTGGACTGCACACTTTGTTTGTTTGTGTGGAGCAAATTAACATTTTAAATAGGACTTAATGACTGCGGTTTGGCAGCTGAATTAAAAGCTAAGCAGGTAAGTGAAAAACTACAAGCTGAAACCCATTAAGGTAATTTAGGAAGAAGGTTCCAATATACATGTTGGATAGAAAGAGGTTTAACCTTTCCAAACACAACATGTCTGATGCCATGGCGTGCATTGCAGTAGGCCTTGATGTATGGAGCAGTCCAGGCGCCGTCGGGCACGACTACAACAGGCTATTGGTTTCATGGAGGTAAGCTGCAGTATGAATGGTTTCACCAACAACAGCAATTTCATGTAAGATCAATTAATTGTCAGTTTAATAAAAGCTAGGTGCTGAAGGTAACATGTATCTCTATTTGCAGACGGATGTCGATCCCATAGCCATTTTAAACCCTCATGTGCCAGTCCTTGCGGCGTTCTTTGATGGCCAGAAGGACCTCATGCAGGACTACAGACTGGGGCGCCAGTCTCTGGAGGCCCTGCTGAGGATCCTGCCATCAAAGAACACACAAGGCTGGTCACATGAGGTGAATATTTTAATTACCCTTTATTGGTTGGCACACGGCTTGTCACAGTGTGGTGTCCCGAGCCTTTGATGTCCCCAAGTCCACCGTCTGCAGACTGGTGCACACTGGAGTACAACAAATTGCAGCCCTTCGCCAGGAGGTCATCAAACTGCCCCCCCCTGGAGAACTGGAGGAGGTTGGCCAAGAGTTTGCAAGGCTGGCCAACAGCCCAGTATCTCCAGGTGTGTGGGGGCCATTGATGGCTGCCATGTCCGCATAAAGACCCCCCCAGGACCTCTGGGCCAGGATTACCTCAACAGAAAGCTCTTCCCATCCATACAATTGCAGGCAGTGTGTGATGGGAAGGGCTTCTTTCTCAACACCTTTGTTGGGTATCCTGGCTCAGTCCATGACACCAGAGTCCTGAAGAACAGCGCAATTTACAAACAGGCTCTGTATCCTCCCTCAGGTGACACCAAATATTCTTGTTAATACATCAAAATCCATCAATGACTTTTAGTATACTAAATATGTTCTCTCTCTTTTTAGGATTCTTCCTTTTGGGTGATGGTGGCTACCCCTGCATAGAAGGACCTGTGGCCCTCATCACCCCATATAGAGAACCACTGCAAGGGAGGGTGCAGAGCCGCTTCAACCAGCATCATGCCAGGGCTCGCTCCATCATAGAGCGGGCCTTTGGCAGGATGAAAAGCAGGTGGAGATCGCTGTTCTTCAAGGCTCTGGAGGTCCACCACACCTTTGTCCCCTCAGTCATCACCGCCTGTGCAGTGCTCCATAACATCTGCCTCACAGCGGGGGACATCCTGGAGCCTGAAGAGGATGTTGGGGACATTGGTGTGGTTCCACCACGTCTGGTGAGGGGGGATCGAGGCGGAGATGGCCAGCGAGACCGACTGGCAGGGCTGCTCTCTGCTCCATGTGTGCAACCAGTTGAACTACAAGAACATGATTATTTGTAGGACTTGGGGACACGAAGGCCTTGGACACTACACTATGTGAAAAGCTGTGTGCCTTCATTTGCGGTTTATTGCGTTGTGATGTTTATAATTTAACAAATAAAGGAACAATATTTTGACAAACAAAGTGTATCTCAATGGAACAATAACAACGTTGCAAAAACTTAGAAACAAAATCATTTATTTACCAATTTCTCAAATAAATCCAAAAATCTTTTTGTGTTAGCCTGATTGGCCTCAAAGCGTTCCTGCTCTCGTTGGGCCTCCTCTTTCAGAAACTCTAATAGGGCCCCCCTACTTGCCCTCTTCTTCTTGGCAGGCGGGGGACTGAGAGAGGTGGATGGCTCTTCATCCAGTGTAGTGGTGCTGCTACTTGTGCCAGGCTGCCCAGGATCCTCCTCTTCCTCCATTGCCTGGCCACAAGGAGCGCCCCAGCTCCACTGGATGAAGAGCCAATCCCACTGGGGGCACGTCAGCCGAGTCCATCAGGACTGGAGGCTCCATGGAGGGCCGACTCCCAATGGCTTCATGCATCAGGGAAAACCACGACCATGTGGCTGCCGTGGCCTCCCCCGCATCTGTCCCCGTCCCTGTAGGGGGGGTTTTCAGCTCCTGAGGGAGAACAAGGAATGTATGAGTCAGATGAAGACACAATAGAAATAGCTGCATTGTATGCATCTAGAAATACAATATCTCACCTTATATTTTCTTTTCAGGTTGTCCCACTGTTTTGCCAGTTGGGTGAGAGTGAGCAACTCCTCCAACTCCATCTTCTGCAGAACCTCTCTGTGGAGTAAACCATTTCTTAAATTATAGCATCCAGGCATGCAAAGTCTGATTACTTCTGACAATATGCTTCATGCATAATAATTCCATGACACACTCAGGTTCACTGTGGTTCATTCACAGTAGTGGTTACATTGATTATCATACCATGCACCAAAACAACATTGTCAAACAACTCATGTAGAACTGTAGCTCACCCCCAGGCCTTCTTGGCTGTGAACCTCTTTCCTGTAAACAGGTGCTCATTGTCAGTCCTCTGTAGAATGAGGGCTCTGGTTTGGGCCTCCGTCCCTGTTTAAGGAGAATTATGTTATACATACATCAGCAAAAGGAAACCTTAAGCCATTAACATTTCACTCACATAATGCTGCATATAAATGACAGCTTAATTATTGAATTGAGCCGATTTGAATGTATTGAATTATTTATTACAAATACATTGTGACTGCAGCCAAATGAATGATGGTACCTTAGTTACGTCTGTATGTGGCAGGTAGCCTAGTTAAATGAAGAAACAAGTGGTTTCCAACCGAAATATGTCCGATAAATAACGAATGCTGCGTGTGTATACGCACGTTATGTAGCCTATTGCAAATCTTGCCTTTAGTTGGGCATTTCACATGAACATTGTTGAGAAAATAAAGCGTTCAATAACAGAAATATATGAGTTGTGGTTAAATACATGTGAACAGATGTTGCATTATCGTAACGGTATCGTTGTAGGCATACAAATAACATGAAGTAATAGGTACTTACACTTGTGTAGTTTTTCTGCCGCCATGTCTTTCAAATGTGCCAGCTGCATGCTGGAGGCAGGGCTTTTAAACCGAGTGAAATCAAGGATTCATGCCTCAGCTGTGATTGAATGGAAATGACAATAAATGAAACTGTAAAACGAAAAAAGCGATCATGAAAATGTTTCCAATAATGATTTTTGACCACTTTTGTTCAGATCACATATTTGTAACTAAATGATACATTAATTGAAACAAAACACGGTATAAACTGAGGAGTGAGTGAGTCCCGTGAGGTTCATGTGTTTTCTTCACTCCGCTGGGAAACTGCTCTCATGTCAAGAAGCATCAGATCAGTGCATGCACTGCCTCGTCCAATCAGTGAGCGATACACAGTAAGGGGGCGGGGTGAGTATCTGAGGATTTCATCGGAGGATGGTCTGGTGGTTCCTCGGTTATCGCTCCTCCGTGATCGCTCCTCGCTCCTCGATCCTCGGTCCTCCCGCAGAAATAAGAGCCATGGGACGGTACTCAAGATGGCGCAGGCAAATCAACTTCCGGTGAGACCGAGGAGCGAGGAAATGAAAATAGTCGACCTGAGAAGCAGCCACTGACTCTTTCAGAGTCAGATTTACAAATATTATATTCTGACCTTAATCGAAATATTCTGTTATTTTCAAAAGCTTTTTTGGTCTGATGTTTCGATTCATTTTAAACAGGCCGTTCAACAAAAGGATACCCACAATCTAAATATTGGATTGTTCTTTCTTAGTAAGAACCAATTTTCATTACCAATGTGGTCTTACCTTGACTTGAAGATGAAGTCCATGCTATCCTTCTGGACAACAATCTCTATTACTTTTTTGTAAAAGTCCTCCTTATCTTCCTCGAGTTTCAAAAGTCTAGTTTGTTGTTCGCGTCTATACCGTCTCTGCGCCGTAGAATAACAGTAGCAACAAGGACCTGTGGGCTCACGTGCGCCCCCTTCAGTGCGGCAGAGGTTATGGCTGCCTCCCCTGGTGCTTTTTTCATTGCCGTTGTACGGTGAGCCTAAATATCATATATACGTGAAATAAGTTATTTAGAGACTATGGATGGCGAGGATAAATGTAATAAAGGGATCTACAAACATTACATTGGTGACCTACAGTGAGATGGTGCAGGCATGCGCTGAGGGCCCGCTTTCCAGCCAGTTTCTGTGAGGTGACGCATTCTGAGGTGAGGCAGATCTCATCTGTGCCTCACCTTACCACACAGTAAGAGCACAGCACTTGAGCGCGCTCACAAAATAAGTGCCCGCGCTAAATTAGTGCCCGCGCTCCAGCCAGTTACTGTGGGCCTTTTTTTGCTGATTTTGACTATAAGAAGCGATTGGAATCATACAGAAATCACATTTACAACACAGATCAGTGGAGACATTTTATTATTATTACTATTTAGTTTTTCTTTAGTTGTTTTTCCGTTACATTGTAGTATGGCTAGTCTATGAGTATGACAGGTGAGGCTCTGCCTCCCCTGCCTCCCCTGACTGCACGTCGCTGACAACATCCATCCATACCTCACGGTGGATCCATATCAGGATATCTTAATACAAACAGACTCAGGTTAAACATTTCAACTTCACCGTTTCCTGAGATGTCCGTTTGTGAGTGTTTATTTGCCGTGCATTCAGTCCAGAGAAAGTCCGTGCTCCACAGCCTCCCACTACCCCGGCGGGACAATGCGTTGGATGTAGAAGTCCTGGGCTTTTTGCGGACAGTCAAAGTAGTAGTCGTCATTTCTAAAGGAAACACGAAGACGAGCTGGGTGCAACAGGCGGAATTGTATTCCTTTCTGGTAAATAGAATTCTTGATGGGGATGAACGCAGCTCGCTTTTTGGCTAGGACGGAGCTGATATCAGGATAAACTCTCAACTCGGTGCCGCCGTAATCCAGTTTGTGTTGTCTGGCCCATTTTAAGGCTCTACTGTTCTGTCAAGGACAGTACACAGCGGCTCCAATCACAGAGACGAGGGGGGGGGGGGGGGTAAAAGGAGGGAGGGTGTTGAAAAGCGAATGGCTGTGAGCAAAAAGTAGATAAAAAACGGTATGAAGATGAGAAAACCTTGAACTTTGTGTTGCCTTCAAACTCCTAGACTTGTTGTGTCTTTCCTCATCTCTTCATAATTCATTCAGTGCTGTAGCTGTGTGTTTGATGCTGCTTTCATACTAAAAAGATCTCCAAACAGGCAGAGAAAGTAAAGAGAACATGTTGTCATAAGACACATTTCAAATGTTTACTTAACCTGTTCAGTTGTATTTATATTGCCCTAAATAACATGTTTCCCTCTGTCTGTAGCCCCTTGATTTGGACAAAGGAACACGTTTTTTTTTTTTAAATAAAAGAAAGCACTACAGAGGATGAAGGGTAGTAAAATGTCTTTGATTTCATTCAAGTATGTTCACTCTTCAGCCCTAGACTTTAACGCAAGATGTACATTTTATGTGTATAAGGTCGAGGGCTGTCAGGAGACCTTATACACATTAAATCTACAAGTGAGAATCGTTTTATAAGGGCTTTCAGTCAGCACTTTCAGACCTGTAGCAAGCACTGTTGCTTCTGCAGCCCACTGTCCTAACAGGCAAGTGTCAATCATAGCAACACATCAAATGAACCAAATTGGATTAATCAGTTGTTAATTGGTTAATCCATCCATAACTGTTCCGCCGCTTATCTGGGTCCGGAACATGTAAATTGATTGAGTAAAACACAAGGAAGTCTTGTTGTATATGGCTGTGAAATATTGACAAAAACTGTCAATATGTGGATAAATGCCAACAAATCCAAGTAATTAATAAATAATGTTAGGCCTCTTTGTCCCTACTGGTTTCCCATCAGTCTTTGAACTCTATAACTGTGAAAAGGGATGACATTATATTAATAGGTGTTAGGAATTAAGCTACATCGCTGAGACAGTTTTGATGTTTATGTAATTTGCCTCTTCTGAAGTGACGATAATAATGATTATCGAATGATAATTTTGTCAATTTTAGTGAAGTTAGAAAGCACTGCATCATGTTAAGACTCTTCCATCCACTCGAAACAATGAACTTCTGTCACCCAGAAACACCCAGAGCTTCAGATTTGCCGAAGCAAGTCCTTGGGCAGTGAAGCCAGCCAGCATCTTAATCAGGGAGTCTGGGTGGACAGACGAGCTAATGGGAAAACAGAGGTTAAAGTAGCAGAGTGATGAAGATTAAATGGAGAAGGGAGCCTGTTTTGGACTCCAAACAGCCGGTCTCCACCTCTCCCGTCTCAGTGGCAGAGTAGCACATTCACTTTGAATACTAAATCTTTGTCAGGACTGTAGTCTCAGTTCGGGGCCAAAATTAGCAGCATCATCATCAGAGGCCGGAGGATGATTCATATGTTTTCACTAATGGAGATAGAAGCGCAGATGGGAAGAGGTGGTGATATGTGGGGTAATGGATGGTCATCAGATATAGAGAAGAGGGGGGTTATC